AGTATGTTGACTAGAATGAGTGTGGGGATATTTCTAGCCTTTGCTGTGTCTGTTGTCAAGCTAATAATTTATAATCCAATTCAGCTCTTTTATGCTAATTCATTTATTGATTATGAACTGATTTTACCACAAATATTACATGGCCTCTCTTTTATATTGTTGTTTCCAGTATCTCTGGAGTTTACAGTAGCTCAGTCTCCAGTACACATGAGAGGAGTGATGGTTGGATTGTGGTATGCTTCTTGGGGAATTGGTTACCTCATTAGTACCATGTTGAAGTTTCCATTTGATTGTGAGAGTCAATACATATGTACCAGTTTCTATTATTATATAACAAAGAGTCTACTAGTTCTTATCATACTGATAGTGTTTGTGATACTGCTAAACGTCTTTGTTTATTGTGTACGAAGTATTTGTTTGTAGTTTAAATCACTGAAGTGAAGTGATGTTATTTTTTCAATATAACTTATGTAAGATAAATGTATTATCATTATGTAGCAAATTGAATTACGTCTACTTGTACCATCATAGTAGGAATAATTATGGTGACCAGTTTGGCTAAGCAGCTAGCTAGAAAGTGGCAACCTTATCTTTATATTACTCCTTCAGCAGTCTTGGTTCTAGTATGGAACTATCTCATGTATTCTTATTACATATTAGGGAGTCGTTTTACTGGTGAATTTCTTAGTGAAGTTGCTCCTGCCACTTGGTATAAGTATGGTTTAGTCATTATGTATTTTTGTTACTTTTTTGTTCAGTCATTCTAATGTTAGTATATTTATTCTTTATCAGAGTTTGTTTCTACAAGTATATTCCCAGTATGCTGACTAGGATGAGTGTTGGTATTTTCCTTGCTTTTACTGTTACAGTTTCTAAAGTGATTATATTTCTCTTTGAGAGGTCTCATCCTGACTTAAACAACTTTAGTAAATTACTCTTTATTCCACAAACTTTCCAAAGTCTTTCTTTTATATTATTGTATCCAGTATCACTGGAGTTTACAGTAGCTCAGTCTCCAGTACACATGAGAGGAGTGATGGTTGGATCGGGGTATCCTGCTTCTTATGGACTTAGTTTTCTTATTAAAATTATTGCCA